CCATGTCGTTTCCATCTGGTGCATAACCCACGCTTTTCTTACCTTGTTTGTAAGAAGTGCAATCCGCTAGGGGATGATCTGCTGATCCACAATTAAAACATCACCTGTGTTTGTCCATATTGTCTCTCGGCCTGTACCACGTCGAATTTTGCTGCTGGCTCCCCCCTAGAACATTTCGGTTCTCCGAAAATGAATACTTTTTTGGTTTCATTAGCATGTTTTCTCTAGATTTCTGTCTCATCTTTTCTGGGTTTGGTGCATTGTCTTTCGCTAGCGCATAATAGGTCGCCAACTTTGTCCTTATGTCATCACTCTTCACCCCGTCTAAGAATTTCGAGGCAAGGCTAAAGTTTGTCCCGTTGGTTGACTTCTCCGGATCACTTCTTCTCCTAAAGCTCTCTAAATTATCCAGAAATTGATCAATCGATGCGTCATTCCGTGGTCTCTTTTTCTCAAACCTCATCATTGCTTGATGTCTCTTCATTTCAGAGCCGAAACGATTCATCATTATTTCGAAAACCTTGTCCGTTGTATCACCTTCATCTTACTTCTTGGCAACCACGCGCTTCAGTGCTGTGCCCTCCAGATTGCTTAGTATCGCTGTGCAGGCTTGTCTTTCATCATTCAAGTTGTCTTGCTCTTGACGTAGCCTCATCAACTCGATCCAGGTGTCTATGCAGCCATTCGAATCGTCTTTAAACTCTTTTGATTTCCTGAATGTCTTTTTCGACTGCTAATTTTCCTGTTTCCGATCCTATGTTATTGTGGATTTGGTGAAATGGAGTGGATTCTTGTTTCTTACGACGAGGTTCCGCAAACTCCCACCTTATTCCAGGTTGTCTCACTGTTTTCTCTGCTACTTTTTTATTTCTCAAGAGCGCATCCAATTTGGACTGTATGGCACAGGAATTTTCTGTTTGGTCTCTGTTCATCTTGTCCATTCTCGTCTCCAGACTCCAAATTTTGTCGTTTACGGTTTCAAACCGTTTCTTCATTTCTTCCATATCCTTCATGATGAACTTCTCGCGTTCGTTGTCAACCTTTTCTACTATTCCAGCCATTTGTTGAAACTTTTCTTCAGTTGCTCTCGCCATGGTGAAGTAGTTATCAAGGTTTTCTTTTTTTTTATGTCTGACCTCCCTCATCAGTTCTTATCGGTCTTTCTCGCCACACTTGAGTCTTTTTTCTATCTGTTCTATTTTCGCATCAAGTCCCCAATCTCCGTTGGCTGTATCTTTGATTCTGTTTCGGATATAATTGCGTGACTCTCTTTTCCCCCATGGTTCTAGTGCTTTGTTCCCCTCCTTCGCCAGCCTCCGTTTTTATGGTGGAATCCGTTCCAAAGGTCTCACTTTTGCTTGTCCCAGCTGTTACTTCTTCTTTAGCTTTCGACCTCATCCAAACCATGGCGGGAAACCTCTCCGTGAAGGATGTGCTTTTTGTTTGTGAGTCATTTGTGAGTCCGGGGTGTTCCCAGTGACCTCGTGTACATTGTCTATTGGCGAGAACTCAATTGCTTTTGCTTCTTGTCATCAAAATTTTGTTCAGGTGTCTCTAGATCAACTTCTGCTATGGGCGTATTCTTTTGTTTCGCAAGTTTCTCTTCTATTGCATCCTTTATCTCTTTCTCTTCCTGTTTTTCCTATTGGGCGATTTTTCCTTGGCCCAAACCTGACTTTTTCCTCTAATGACACTCTTATTTTTGTCATGTTCTCTAAATACAATTTTAGTTTATTTACATTTTCCTATATATACAGGTATTATTAAAATACAAAAGTTTAAGAAAATACCTTTAGATTTCTAATCTTTCTAAATCAAGTTCGATTTAATTTTTATTTCAGCAGTCTGGCTTAAAACTTTTATTTCCTACTGTTTTTTCCTATTGTTCCTATTCAAGAATTTATTTTAGAGCTATAACATTAGCTTCCAAGAACCCCAAAAACCCAAGTACTGTGCATACCCTAGCGTCTTGATTCCTTTAGACTTGGGCAGTTGTCTTATTCCCCAAGACTCATTTCCTTTAGTGTTGGGCACCTGTTTTAGTTTACTCAAACTCAAGTGTTGGGCAGTTTATTTAGCTTCCCAGGACTCAAGTGTTGGGCAGTTGATTTAGCTTCCCAAGACTCCAGTGTTGGGCAGTTGATTTAACTTTCCGGGACTTTCCAGCAGATTTAGTGTTGGGCAGTTGATCTAGCTTCACATGACTCCAGCAGATTTAGTGTTGGGCAGTTGATTTAGCTTCCCAGGACTCAAGTGTAGGGTAGTTGATTTAGCCTCCCAAGACTTCAGTGTTGAGTAGTTAATTTAGCTTCCCAGGACTTAAGTGTTGGGCAGTTGATTTAGCTTTCCAAGACTCCAGTGTTGTGTAGTTAATTTAGCTTACCAGGACTTAAGTGTTGGGCAGTTGATTTAGCTTCCCAGGACTCTAGTGTTGGGCAGTTGATTTAACTTTCCGGGACTCAAATGTTGGGCAGTTGATATAGCTTCACAGGACTCCAGCAGATTTAGTGTTGGGCAGTTGATTTAGCTTCCCAGGACTCAAGTGTAGGGTAGTTGATTCAGTCTCCCAAGACTCCAGTGCTGGGTAGTTAATCTTGCTTCCCAGGACCCAAGTCGAGGGTAGTTGATTTAACCTCCCGAGACTCCAGTGTTGGGCAGTTGATTTACTTTTCCGGGACTCAAATGTTGGGCAGTTGATTTAGCCTCTAAGGACTCCAGCAAATCAGTGTTGGGCAGTTGATTTAGCTGCACAGGACTCCAGTGTTGGGCAGTTGATTTAACTTTCCGGGACTCAAATGTTGGGCAGTTGATATAGCTTCTAAGGACTCCAGCAGATTTGGTGTTGGGCAGTTGATTTAGCTTCACAGGACTTAAGTATTGGGCAGTTCATTTAGCTTCCCAAGACTCCAGTGTTGGGCAGTTGATTTAACTTTCCGGGACTCAAATGTTGGGCAGTTGATATAGCTTCTAAGGACTCCAGCAGGTTTGGTGTTGGGCAGTTGATTTAGCTTCACAGGACTCCAGCAGATTTAGTGTTGGGCAGTTGATTTAGCTTCCCAGGACTCAAGTGAAGGGTAGTTGATTCAGTCTCCCAAGACTCCAGTGTTGGGTAGTTAATCTAGCTTCCCAGGACCCAAGTCTAGGGTAGTTGATTTAGCCTCCCAAGGCTCCAGTGTTGGCAGTTGATTTACCTTTCCGGGACTCAAATGTTGGGCAGTGGATTTAGCCTCTAAGAACTCCAGCAAATCAGTGTTGGGCAGTTGATTTAGCTGCACAGGACTCCAGCACATTTAGTGTTGGACAGTTGTTTTGGCTTCCCAAGACTCCAGCAAACCAAAGTTGGGCAGTTGATTTAGCTTCCCAGGAGTCAAGTAGATGTATTTTTGGGAAGTTGTGTTAGCTTTCCAAGACTAAAGTAGATGTAGTGTGGGGCAGTTTCTTAGCTTCCCAAGACTCCAGCAAACCAGTGTTGGGAAATTGGTTGAGCTTTCCAGGACTGTCTCAAGGACTTGTGTAAAAAGCCCCATCCCCATTATTTTTATCAAAAATTGATCTCAATATCTCCAAAGTGTCCTGTGGTCCCTCAATCAGTTGCAATTGAAAAGTCAGATCGGGTTTTCTACACCATGTTGTGGCTGAAAATTACCTAAAATTAACTCCGATTGTTATTAAAATGTAGCAATTCTTTTTTTAACACTTCCATGTAAAAACTCAAAAGTGTTATGAAAACTCTAACCAAAATGTATTTTGTCAAAAATGCTAAGACGGTCGTTCTAAATAGTTTGTCTGGTACCTGGTTGGCAAGCGTAATTTCCACTACTTTTGTGTATCTGGAGTTAATTACCTTATCAGCATCTGAAAAATATACTGATTTCTGATCCCCCCCCCCCACCTGATCCGGCCAGACCACCTACTTTATCTCAAGTTTACTATGGGGTAACTTCGCGTTCCAACTCCTTTTTTCAGTCTTTATTGTGGTCAATATTGACTGTGGTTAATCTAATGTAACCAAATCGAGGAGGTCGATTGTATGGTTACAAAAATAAGGCCCAGTTTTTTAAATTCCCAATCACTACCCTTTATCTTGACCAAACCCCTGTCTAACCTCCCCCTTTCCAGCCCCCCACTGAAGTGGAAAATCCCTTTAAGCGCGATGGCTGCTAAACCACTCAAGGGAAAACCCGTAGAACCTGTTTCCGAGTTCTGCACAAATAAAAACGTTTGCTCAAACAAAAGTTGTGGGAAGCCGTTTATTCACTTTTAATACCATCCACTTATAGTATAAAGTGCACTTTAATGATTTATTTTTGACCAAACAGCACACTTCGGTGTCTCCTGCAGCGGTCCCACTGCACTCTTCACACTACTGGTAATTTCTTCCCAGCAGTGTCCTCTCTTGATTCCTAGGACTCAGTCCTCTGAACCCCTTCACTTTCCAACTGGTCACCTTTTCCAGTAAAGTGTCCCAGTAGTTCTCCAAGGTTGCAAGGCTATCTGAAAACCCTTTCAACGCCCGTTCTCTCGGGCACCTGTCAAAAACTGCTACTTTGATCGAAACAATCGGTCTTAATGAGAAACAGTATAGGTATACTAATAATTAACACAAAGGTCACTCCATCCAATCTGGGAACCAAATTCACTGTCCTTTTTCTCTTTTTTCTGTTTTTTTTTACTCTCTTTTCTTTTTTTGTTTCATGTCTTTTAACCGTTTTTTGTTTTTCTTGTGGCCCGCCATACTCGGTTAGTCAAGCCTCGTATCCGAAAGCGCAACGAGAAAAAACTCACAGGTTTATTAAAAAGTTATCACGGTAAGACCAGAAGGTGGACATGTTCCAGTTGAACTGTACCATTGGTACTCTAGAATAGGCATATAGCCCGAAACTTCGTCAAGTGGGTTTGATCCCTTAGTTCGATACCGTACGTGAAAATGTGCTCAAATTACAAACAAAAAGTGTAAAACAAGATGCTCAAAAACAGAAACCCAGCAGAACGCAAATTAAATTTAATAAGGAAGTATTTGAGTTTAAAAAATCTTTCGCTGACAAAAATTTGAACTTCGCACAGCAAAAAAATTGTTAGATAAGAAGCTTCAATTGTTTCGTAGCATGTCTGAAGAAATATTTGTCCACTAAACATTTTGTCCAAACTTTCAGTACTGTAGATACTGAGTACAATAGTTATTCAGTACAATGTTTCAGTGTTGAGTAGTTAATTTAGCTTCCCAGGACTTAAGTGTTGGGCAGTTGATTTAGCTTCCCAAGACTCCAGTGTTGAGTAGTTAATTTAGCTTACCAGGACTTAAGTGTTGGGCAGTTGATTAAGCTTCCCAGGACTCTAGTGTTGGGCAGTTGATTTAACTTTCCGGGACTCAAATGTTGGGCAGTTGATATAGCTTCACAGGACTCCAGCAGATTTAGTGTTGGGCAGTTGATTTAGCTTCCCAGGACTCAAGTGTAGGGTAGTTGGTTCAGTCTCCCAAGACTCCAGTGCTAGGTAGTTAATCTTGCTTCCCAGGACCCAAGTCGAGGGTAGTTGATTTAACCTCCCGAGACTCCAGTGTTGGGCAGTTGATTTACTTTTCCGGGACTCAAATGTTGGGCAGTTGATTTAGCCTCTAAGGACTCCAGCAAATCAGTGTTGGGCAGTTGATTTAGCTGCACAGGACTCCAGTGTTGGGCAGTTGATTTAACTTTCCGGGACTCAAATGTTGGGCAGTTGATATAGCTTCTAAGGACTCCAGCAGATTTGGTGTTGGGCAGTTGATTTAGCTTCACAGGACTTAAGTATTGGGCAGTTCATTTAGCTTCCCAAGACTCCAGTGTTGGGCAGTTGATTTAACTTTCCGGGACTCAAATGTTGGGCAGTTAATATAGCTTCTAAGGACTCCAGCAGGTTTGGTGTTGGGCAGTTGATTTAGCTTCACAGGACTCCAGCAGATTTAGTGTTGGGCAGTTGATTTAGCTTCCCAGGACTCAAGTGAAGGGTAGTTGATTCAGTCTCCCAAGACTCCAGTGTTGGGTAGTTAATCTAGCTTCCCAGGACCCAAGTCTAGGGTAGTTGATTTAGCCTCCCAAGGCTCCAGTGTTGGGCAGTTGATTTACCTTTCCGGGACTCAAATGTTGGGCAGTGGATTTAGTCTCTAAGGACTCCAGCAAATCAGTGTTGGGCAGTTGATTTAGCTGCACAGGACTCCAGCACATTTAGTGTTGGACAGTTGTTTTGGCTTCCCAAGACTCCAGCAAACCAAAGTTGGGCAGTTGATTTAGCTTCCCAGGAGTCAAGTAGATGTATTTTTGGGCAGTTGTGTTAGCTTTCCAAGACTAAAGTAGATGTAGTGTGGGGCAGTTTCTTAGCTTCCCAAGACTCCAGCAAACCAGTGTTGGGAAATTGGTTGAGCTTTCCAGGACTGTCTCAAGGACTTGTGTAAAAAGCCCCATCCCCATTATTTTTATCAAAAATTGATCTCAATATCTCCAAAGTGTCCTGTGGTCCCTCAATCAGTTGCAATTGAAAAGTCAGATCGGGTTTTCCACACCATGTTGTGGCTGAAAATTACCTAAAATTAACTCCGATTGTTATTAAAATGTAGCAATTCTTTTTTTAACACTTCCATGTAAAAACTCAAAAGTGTTATGAAAACTCTAACCAAAATGTATTTTGTCAAAAATGCTAAGACGGTCGTTCTAAATAGTTTGTCTGGTACCTGGTTGGCAAGCGTAATTTCCACTACTTTTGTGTATCTGGAGTTAATTACCTTATCAGCATCTGAAAAATATACTGATTTCTGATCCCCCCACCTGATCCGGCCAGACCACCTACTTTATCTCAAGTTTACTATGGGGTAACTTCGCGTTCCAACTCCTTTTTTCAGTCTTTATTGTGGTCAATATTGACTGTGGTTAATCTAATGTAACCAAATCGAGGAGGTCGATTGTATGGTTACAAAAATAAGGCCCAGTTTTTTAAATTCCCAATCACTACCCTTTATCTTGACCAAACCCCTGTCTAACCTCCCCCTTTCCAGCCCCCCACTGAAGTGGAAAATCCCTTTAAGCGCGATGGCTGCTAAACCACTCAAGGGAAAACCCGTAGAACCTGTTTCCGAGTTCTGCACAAATAAAAACGTTTGCTCAAACAAAAATTGTGGGAAGCCGTTTATTCACTTTTAATACCATCCACTTATAGTATAAAGTGCACTTTAATGATTTATTTTTGACCAAACAGCACACTTCGGTGTCTCCTGCAGCGGTCCCACTGCACTCTTCACACTACTGGTAATTTCTTCCCAGTAGTGTCCTCTCTTGATTCCCAGGACTCAGTCCTCTGAACCCCTTCACTTTCCAACTGGTCACCTTTTCCAGTAAAGTGTCCCAGTAGTTCTCCAAGGTTGCAAGGCTATCTGAAAACCCTTTCAACGCCCGTTCTCTCGGGCACCTGTCGAAAACTGCTACTTTGATCGAAACAATCGGTCTTAATGAGAAACAGTATAGGTATACTAATAATTAACACAAAGGTCACTCCATCCAATCTGGGAAACAAATTCACTGTCCTTTTTCTCTTTTTTCTGTTTTTTTTTACTCTCTTTTCTTTTTTTGTTTCATGTCTTTTAACCGTTTTTTGTTTTTCTTGTGGCCCGCCATACTCGGTTAGTCAAGCCTCGTATCCGAAAGCGCAACGAGAAAAAACTCACAGGTTTACCTAAAAAGTTATCACGGTAAGACCAGAAGGTGGACATGTTCCAGTTGAACTGTACCATTGGTACTCTAGAATAGGTATATAGCCCGAAACTTCGTCAAGTGGGTTTGATCCCTTAGTTCGATACCGTACGTGACAATGTGCTCAAATTACAAACAAAAAGTGTAAAACAAGATGCTCAAAAACAGAAACCCAGCAGAACGCAAATTAAATTTAATAAGGAAGTATTTGAGTTAAAAAAATCTTTCGCTGACAAAAATTTGAACTTCGCACAGCAAAAAAATTGTTAGATAAGAAGCTTCAATTGTTTCGTAGCATGTCTGAAGAAATATTTGTCCACTAAACATTTTGTCCAAACTTTCAGTACTGTAGATACTGAGTACAATAGTTATTCAGTACAATGTTTTAGCGTTAGAATCTACAAACAAACAAAAATTGATTTCCACCAATCAAAACGCGAACATTTTTTCAAAATACTGCTCAGATTCCGTAAAAATCAGTCAGTAACATTAGAGTTGAAAACAAACTTTTTCCGCAAACTAACTCCAATTTTATGAGTTATTGAAACATTGAAAAATAAGCAAGTTAATGGAGGCACGTTTTCAGGCTCGGAAGGTGGTAGTATTCACGTTTGATATCTCCAAAAACACAACTCTTTCAAGGCTAAGAAAAATGCTGAACTGTGTTATATATTAACATCCAAACTACATAAGTTTTTTAACAACTGCCACTCGTTTTGATGTAAACGGTTTCAACTACTTTTTGGAATGATACATCATTGACAACAAAGAAGTTTTTGGAAAAACGTACCTTCATTCTTGCCGAATGTTTTCACTATTTCGGTTTTTTCTTTTTTCGTTATTTTTCGTTTTTGACTCACCCGTTTCTTTTCAGCAAAATATTGATTTTTGGTTTAGTTAAAGTTGGTAATCAGGCATCATATGAAACCTTTTTCCGCTCGTAGACACCTGAAAACGGATCTGTAGATCCATTGGTGTTCTTCCAGGCAGTTGTAATTTCACTACGGTGAACATATGTTTTTTTTTGTTACCTGGATACAATTTATTATGATTATTAATATAGAGTAGGCCGGTTGGTAGGCTGTTAACAAGATCCATTTAAAAACCAGAAGCCGATGATAACAGCCTGTCAACCGCCTTGCCCTTTGGTAACTAGCAAAAAATTAAATCATATTAATTACAAAGAAATTTCATCAACGGGTCCTGTAACGGATCTTCCCTCTTGTCAAAGCGATGGAACAGTTAAAAGCATCATTGAGAAAACTAATCGGACTTTTGGTTAGGTTTTGTAATGTTTGGCTCACAATTTTGTTTGGTTTGCTTTTAGCATCATTTGCACCAATGTTTGCATAAATTTTCTAAGCAGGGGAAAAAATCTAAAATGTTTGATAGATTTATTAAAAACAAACTTTTGTGACGCCATGCCTAAGATGCTTGAAAGTTCAAAACAAACACAGCTCAATATCTTCAATTTCAGATCTCCTTGACAACATATGATGATCTAGTAACAGGTTTAATCGAGCAAAACCATTTTGCAAATCGCGTCATTGTTCATTATTCATTTAATAGCACTAGCAAAATCAATGGCATTTTCTTATTTGGATTTTTGAAAATCGCACCACTAATTTAAAGTTTGATTTTTTTGTCGCGAACTTGATTTTTAGCGGTTTTATAGTTTTTAAAGGCTCTAACAACTTTTTTGTCAGTCTTATTTCCAACTGCTTATCCCTACAAAAACAAAGATAGCCGGTTACAGTGCGAGTAGCACAGAATGGTCCGACCATAGTCTTTAAAAAAACTACAAAAAAAAACTTTTTTTTTCAATTTAGTGAAGTTTTTCTGCGTGGAGTGACAAAAGTAACTGATATATAACTATATTTTAGGCATATTTTTGCTCATAATATATAGGCAAATTGGACACAAGCATTCTAAAAAAATTGAATACAAAAACAAAAAATCGACAATTTTTTTTGCTGAAAATTTTTCAATTTTGGAAGTTTTTGGTTTCCTAAATGGTGCTAAAAAACTCCAAATACTAATTTTATCAGCTTTAACGTTAAGTTTTTGGGGTTCAATTTGGCTTAATTAAGCTGTTGTACGCCTGATCGCTAGCTTAATTTGCTCGAAATCAGACGAAAAATCAAAACTTTCAAGCCGGTTTTCTCGACACTCGAAAAAATATTAAACTGGCGACATGAGTAGCTTCAGACATCCTAGTTGCATTCAGTTTTCCTCCTAAAACCGCTCGCGATGTCCACTTTTGTAAATACGCTTTGGAACACAAGCATTAACACATGCAATATTTCATAACTGAAAATTGAACAATACTTTCCAAAAATCGGGGTGGGGGCTTGGAAAGAATTGTTTTGTGGTAGAACTGACTGAGACAATATAATTGTTCTCGCAGGAAATTCCAGCCACCGTTACTTGCTTAATTTAACTCGTTTTTATGTTCTTTTCTCTTTTTTTCCATTTGATTAATAATTCCTTTTGAAAACTAGTTCAGCCAATGGGATTATGAGAACAGAACAAGAGATGCCTTCCGTGCCGATATACGCAGAGACAGTTTTCCCTCTCTCTTGTCTTTATTCCTTCTTCATGTATATTTTATGCAATCCCACTTTTTACTAAAGCCGCTTCGATTGGGAGAGCGAAAAAAAAACTGGACCATAAATTTGCTATCACTCCCCCAAATACACCACCACAAATTTATCATTTATCTCTTTTCCCACTTTTTTCAAGCCTCTGCTCCTAATTTCAGACCGCCCGCCGTATATCTGCACAAATTTACAAATTTACCGGTGTAAAATTCAATAGAAACACTGTTCACTTCACGGTGAAAATTTACCTGAAAATCCAACAAAAACTATTCATTATTTACCAAGAAAAGACGAATTGCCTTAGTTTTTTTCTTTTATTGCAAAATTTAATACTTTGCCAACATTTGTGCGAGTAATTTCTTCAACTCTTCACCATATGGTATGAAATTGAGCTTGAGACGCCATTTGGAATTGGCGGTTTTGCAACAGTAAAATTTGTAAGTTTTGCTTGAGTGGCCTTCTTTTACTGCCCAATTTAGTCTTTTGCAGCTTGTTATTAAAAACAAGCCCTACAAAGTACAAGTTTCGCTCTTCTTATTTGTCAAAACATTTCGCTTACCCGTACTTTCTCGAATTCTGCGGCCCAGCTAGAAAGTTAAATTTGCCCAGTTTCAACTGTAACGGCTCTGCCAATATGCGCCTAATTTGGTTTCAATTAGAGCTCTTTACCCTCAAAACAGATTCCAATTTTTGATGTTCCCAATTAAACCTTTATATCTGTTATCTTTACGTATAGGTTTCCAAACCACAAAATAAAGCCGCAAACCGATAAATTTTGGTTTTATGAATCGGGTCTATTTTGTTTCTCTAACACCCTTTCCGAATAATTGACAAATATTTCAATTAAAATGTCACTTGGGTGCAATAAAAGATGACACTTTTTCAAACTTCATTAAATTTTTCCACGTGACTGAGTATAGTTTCATAATAAACGACTTAATAGTTTATTTTGCCTATATCAAAAACTCTTTTATTTTTGCTGTTCGCGTGATTATTTTGACCATCAGAGATGGCTTCTCACTTGAAGTGTTATGAGTGCAAGTCTCTCTTCATCCAGCCGCGCATTCTTCCCTGTCGACATTCTATCTGCTATCTCTGTGCAGTTCAGCTGCTCCGAAAGGCAAGCGAACCCTCTCTTCTATTTAAAATATTGGATCTTTTTTAGTTACCCCCCCCCCCGCCCCTGTTTGCAAAGGGACGCAGTGAGATATTCGTTACTAGGTACAAATTCATATGCGTTTATCCGTTGAATTAGTTTTTTTAAAGGGGCTGCATTTCGTTACTAGGTGCGAAAGGGGGAATTAGATAGATAGATAGATCTGAAATTTTTCCTAATAAATTAATTTTTTATTCAATTTTAAATCACTGTTTATGCGCTGAAGCTCTAGTTAATAAGTTCTAAAAAGAAAAATACAAAAGACGCTTTTATTATCTTCAAAAAAGTGCCAAAAAATGAAGCACAGAAAGTGGGATCCAAAAGGTAGTAGCAAAAAAATCGTCGCCTTTATGAAAATCTTTATGAAATTTATGCGGAATTTTGATTTAAAAAAGAACGTTGTGTTTTAGTTTTATTATCACTAAAAATTTGGTATTTTTTTTGCATTTTAGCTTGAACTTTATAATGTTTTTGGCGTGTTTAGGGAAACAGTCAGCAGCAAGCGGGGGGTTCGAGTAGTAGAGGGGCGATAGCAGGCTCATCTGCCGACAACATAGGAGGGGGAGGGGGAGGGGGGGAGGACGCCTCTGACAGTCTGAGTGTGTCGAGTGAAACTGACTCTGGCGTGTTTGTGAATGGAAGTGCCATCTCACACGACAGGAGTTCGAGACGCTACTCCAGCTCAGCTCTCCACAACAATCACCACACACCTACGTCCTGTGTCATAAGGTGAGCACAAAGGTCAAGTCAAACACGGCCGGATCGAGGTTTTTTAAAAAAAACTTAGCGGTTTCTAGAGAAAGTTTCAAATACTTAAAAAGGGGTTGCCCGATTCCTCAAAAAATTTCAAATAATTCATCGGTTTTATTCTTCAAACCAGTTAAAAACAAGAAAAGCTGAAAAAAACTGCAGAGTTTACTGCAAAAATTTACGTCACAACAAAAAGTTTCGTCGATTGCTTTTAAAATGTTGTTACAAGTCGCTCTTTGTTTTAACTAGCTTTCCGACTTTTTTGATCTTTTTTATCAAAGGGGCGGGTCAACAATGGATAACATAAAGTTGTACCAAAAATAGGAGCCTTTGGGCGGTAAGAGATCAAAACCCAGTGGGTGCATCCATGGAAGACACTAGTCATTAGCCGCAAATGTTTCCAATATTTCTCAAAAGCTTGGAAAAAAAAACGAAAAAAAAAATATTTTCCCTGAATTATTATCTCAGAAAACAGTTATTCATGGGTAAAGTTTCTTTTGGGAACTTGAACAAGTTTTCACCACAGAAATCAAACTTGGCACCAAATATGATGATATATACAGCAATCGATGTTCCCATAAAAGTCTAAATAAACCAGACTGATCGTATGACGGCGCAATTTTATTCGAACTGCAGTTTTACAGACGTCCGTAAAAATTTTGGACAAAAATTGATGAAATAAAAAAACAACAATAACGCAAAACAAGATTAGCCGGCTAATGTGCAAGTAGCACAAAAATTTCCAAAAACATTAAGTAAAAAAACTAAAAAAAAAACTTTTCTTTTTTTAAACTGCGTCGTTTTTATGTCGTCGTGTGATGAGAGGAAGAGAACAAAAATCTGATTTTTAGGCATAGCCGATAGTGATACTAAATTAAGTATATTCGACAACAAGTTTTATTAAAAAAATCAAAGATTTTAAAAAATCATTACGAGGCCAAGCTGTACAATGAATTGGCGCACAATTTCCTGTCTGTAAGATCCTGGATGCCAAAAACAAGTCTTTAAACACGTGAAAATTTTGTCGAAATGATCAATGAAAATGAAATAACAAAGGAAGAACAAAAAGAGCGTCCTTGTTGTGGAATACCCCTACAATTCACAAAATGCACAGTTTGGCCTCGTAATGTTGCAGATTTCTTCTTTGATTTAAAATTTTTTTTTGAAGAAGGCTCTGAAAAAAATATCAAAAGTCAATTTTACAGGATTAAAACTAAGTTTTCACAGCCTAACTTAGAATTTAGGTTTTTTAAGCCTAGTATAAGACATCCACCCAACTCTTTTTCTCGAGTCACAACTTACAGGGCTTGCTAACGTGATGTATCATTCGACCCCTCAAAATACTCATTTGTGGTACTTAACTTTGCGTGGTACATTTTTTTGAAATCTAAAACTAATCTAAAGACAAAACTCAAAATCATGTAGAACTAATTTTTGGTTGTTCTCAGATATGTTTCTAATAGTTTAATTATACTTCGAACGATACCAGTTTCCTCATGTATTATTTATTTACTTTGGGTAGTTAATTTTTGTAATTTTTGGTAAAGAATTTAAGAGTGATCATTAATGAATCAGAGAATGAATGAAAAGAAATATATTTAAAAAAATTAGCAACTATTTGCCAAAAAATGGAAGGTATTCTTCAGATACCAAGCTCAAAAAATTTAAGAGAAATAATTTTAAAAAGCGTATATCGGGCAATGTTCCGATTTAGAGTTTACTTATTGCTTAATTAAACGAATAAGTTCAGTTGCAATTCCTCAAAACCAAAATAGAGTAGACGAAAGTCATTTCTCAAATGTAACCCGGAAACAATAAAAAAGATGAGTAAAACAATCGCTCTGTATTATTGTTCCAACGTTCCTTAGGGATTGAAAAAAATATGGACCAGATTTGAGTTTTTTGTTCTTTAACTATTAGCAGGTCAAAATATAAAATTTTATTGCCATATCGATAAATTTGAACCGTAATTTTTTTTTCACGGTTGAGGCAAATTTTTGAACTAATTTTATTTGAAGATATTTTACTGCGTTGTGAAGTCGATAAAACTAAAAGATAAAGATATCGTACTTCAAAATGTTTTTTCAAAATGAAATCCTATGTTTAGTTTGTATATATATATATATATATATATATATATATATATATATATATATATATATCAAGGCCTAAAAGGGTTGTTTTTGCATAGCAAAAATTGAAAACATTTAGGTTTCTTAGATCGCACAAAGTTAAACTTTTGACACAATTTTTTTAACTACTGGCTAGTATTGATTATTATCATACAAAGTTCACAGGTCCCTTGAACATTTGCGGATGAACTTAAAACTAAAAGAGTAAAATTTAGAGCAAAAATTATTTTGCGTTTTTGGAGGCCAAAACATTTGAGCAAGCTCAAAAACTGCTATTGAAATCTTCGACGCCCTTCTCGAGCTGTTTTATGTAATGATTTTTTGAAAACCTAAAATCAACCAAACGGCTTCACTTTTCAACGGAAACTTAAGCGTCATTTTGGTTTTACTAAGAATATTTTCCCCGTGCAATTTGTTTAAAACTCTTCAGTAACATCCGCTGCTTAGAAGGTAGGAAAACTGTTGACGCCAATGCC